ACAGATAGACACCGACACACTGACACTCACTGAAACAGTCACAGATACACACTGACACTCACCGACACAGTTACAGATAGACACCGACACACTGATACTCACCGACACAGTCACAGATACACAGTGACGCAAACACTGATGCACACTGTCACACGCTGATATAGATACACCGTGACACAGACACCGATACACACTGACTCACTGACACAGTCACAGATACACACCAACACACAATGACACTCACTGACACAATAACAGATATGCACTGACACAAACTATGATACACACTGACGCACACTAACATAGATACAGTATGTGCTGAGATACACTGACATAAATACACACTGACACCGACTGAGAGTCACAGATACAGTCACACAGATACACAATGACACAGTCACAGATACACTGACACCCACTGACACTGACAGTCACTGAAACAGTCACACAGATAAACACTGACACAAACACTGATACACACTCACACACTGACATAGATACACAATGACACAGACACCGATACACTGAAAATCCCTAACACAATCACAGATACAGACACACAGATACACCCTAACAAACACACACTGACACAGACACACACACACACACTGACACAGACACACACTATCACACACTGAGACAGATGCACACTGACACAGTCACAGATACGCATTGAAATAGACACAGATCCACACTGACACAGTCACATACACACAGACTGGCACAGATACACACTGAAACTCGCTCTCACACGCACACACTGACACAGACACACACTATCACACACTGACACAGATGCACACTGACACAGTCACAGATACATAGACACAGATAGACACTGACACTCGCTCTCACACGCACACACTGACACAGACACACTATCACACACTGACACAGATGCACACTGACACAGTCACAGATACATAGACACAGATAGACACTGACACTCGCTCTCACATAGACATCCTGACACAGAGACACACTTTGCTATAGACACACCGATGATTTTTTTCCAAACACACCCACACACACACACACACACACACACACTGACCTTCTCTCTCTCATACACATACATATACAAACACACCAACACACACTGACACTCTCTCGCACGCAGAAATTGACTTATAGATACACATTCTCTCACACACTGACACGTTCTTTCACACACACACACACACACACACACGCTGACGCTCTCCCTCTCACGCACCCCACCGCTTCCCCCATCAGTCCCGCAGTAAGACAAGCTGGATGTGCCTCCTTCTTGAGGTGGGGGAGAGAGGGAGGGGAGGGAGAGAGGAAGAGGGAGGGAAGGAGGGAGGGAGGTCTCCCCCAGCTGGGCCTCTCTGTTACTCCTCTCTCCTGCCGCGTCACTCCTCACTCGTCTACCGTCTATGTTTTATTCATGGCTGTGCGGCTTGCGCTGCAGGATGAATCGTCCGGGTGATGCGGGTGCCCGCCGCTCCCTGCTTGAAAACGACTCCCCTCCAGCCGTCAGGCCTCCTGAAGCGTTTCATCCAGGGAGTCGCTTAGTGGGGCCTTTCTTTGCCAGCGCGTCTCGTCAGGAAGACGCCGGCTCCTTAGCGCGCTCCCCACAGCTCCGCGCAGCTCTTTATCGATCACGGGGGGGCTGGCTAGGTGTGGGGGCCTCCCCCCCCATATTGACTGTGTGCTAATGGCCACGCACGCCACTAATGCCTTTTATTACTCCTGCATCTCCTTCAAAGCAAGCAAAACAGTAATTCATCTCAGGAGTGCCCATACCTCTTGCCCTTTCTTACCCAGTGAAAGCCATAGCGCCGTCTAGCTCCGCAATCCAGGCAGGGTGCCGTTGGCATCTCATGTTCCCGTCTCTCTTTTCTGCCTGCCCATATAGAACGTCAGTCCCAGAATTCCCTGTGGCGCCATGATGCGGATCGCATTGCCAGTGACACTTTGAAGCTGGAGTTGGTGTCATTAGCGGTAGCGTTTACCAGCACCCCAGTTTGGGGGCCCCCTGTTGGCTGCAATGAGTCACTATGCTGGGGGGCGGGGGTCCCAAAGTGGTTTTTTGATTGGGGCCCTAGAAACAGCAAACCTGTCCTTGGTTGTTGAGCTTTCGAAAGCCGAATAAATGGCACCACCCCCCCCCCAGACTCAGAGCGGGCAACAGTTATGTGCATGGCATCATCTGATGGACTCGATCTCACAGTGAGTGGCCCCTCCACAGGGGCGCCATGCCCACGCACACCCACTGTCCCGCAGGCAAATCCCCATCCTTCAAGGTCTGTGGGGGATTCTCTCGCCTTTCTTCAAGCGCAGGAGCTGCACTGAGATTTCCGGCTGCCTGTGACTCCAGGCTGCTGCTCTGTTCTGCTTTTTAATTTCCACGCTTCTAAATTTGGACGCTGGTCTCAGAGCAGCCGAGCTCCCACTGCAATAGTGGCATTTTCTCCCTTTTCACAGGGGTAAAGTGGGATCTTTGGGGGGGGGGGTTCTGTCTCCTAGGGTGGACTGCATAAGTGACCATCCACATACCAGATTTTCACTCACCACCTTTTTACTCAGAATTCTTCCAAGTAATCACCCCCCCCCACCAAAAAAATAAACGTGGTCATCCCAAACTAAACTGTCAGCCGCTGCCCGACGAGAGGAGATTTTTATTTTATTTTATTTCTCTTAAGATGAGTCATCTTCGCCTCTAATGCACTGCAGAACCCAGTAAGAGGCAGTTACTCTCCTCCGCTGAAAAAAAGCCGTATTTTATTATTAAGAAATGAAGTGTAAGGATTTTCAAAGTGTCAGTGTGGGCTTTTAATGTCATCCTGCGCGGCTCTGCTGAGAGGCCATGGCGCCCAAAGGCACTTCACGGTGGGGGGGACTTTTAAAGGGGTCTGTTGATGGGGGCCACAATAAGCAGGACGGGTCGCTGCTTTGAGAGATATCAAAGTCCATTTTCATACTCAGCAATTGCCAGTTGCCGGGATTATTGTTCGCCATTGTTGGCATCCCATTAATCTTTTTTGTGAATATCGAGAGAACATCCTCCTTCATCTCCCTCCTTGCGCCTGATTCTCAGTCTTTAGGGCATGAGTTTCACCGCTCAGCGTCCCATTGCCCATTTCAATGTAGCTAATCAAATTCGGTCAGCACCGCAACACCGTAATAAATGTTTTACTCGAACCCTTAAAAGGCTCGTTTGCTAATTGCAGCGGCAGGAGACATCGCCGCTGTGTGCGTTGCGAGCCCGCATGAGATAATCCCCCCTCAGACCGCTGTTTTTTGCTGACTAACGCTGTGAAAACCAAAACAACAATTGACGACACACTTCAGCCTTTCCAGCTGGCTGAATATCACGCCTAACTGCTATACCTTTTCTCTTTTTTCGCCTTTAACAACGGGGTAATTACAGCCCAGGGATGGCCGGGATCCAGGTTTCTAGCTGGGAGCCGAGCAGGGCCTTCTGGGTAGTAGGTGTGTCCCCACTCTGAGAGCTCTGCAAGTCTGAGAGCCCAAATGCTAAAAATACCTGGACCACAAAACTCAAATCAATACGTGGGACATTGGGGCACGCAGGCAAAGTCGAACGTGAGAGGATTTCCGTCAAACACTGGCATTGGCTGGCAGTGGGCGGGGCTACGGGGAGGGGTGGAGGCTTGTTTGCTTTCAGCCTCCCTGATTGGTCCTCTCTTAGTGCATCCCAAAACTGCAAGTTAAAGTTATGTTATTTAAAAAGTAAAATATGTAAACAATTATTTAAACAGTCAAGTCATTCAGGGTTGCAAAGAAGAGTTCAGAGGCTTCTGGGAATCATTCATCGATCCTCTTTTTTCAGAAGATTTAGAACAGGGGTCTCCAACTCCGGTCCTGGAGAGCTACCGTCCAGTAGGTTTTCTATCCTACCTGACTTCTGATGAGCCACACCTGGTCTCAGGTAAATACCAGGAGCAGGTGTGGCTCATCAGAAGCCAAGTGGGACAGAAAACCTACTGGATAGTAGCTCTCCAGGACCGGAGTCGGAGACCCCTGATTTAGAAGATCCTTTTCTAACCTCTGGGGTTGATCTGATCAGTTTGAACTCAGCAGATTCAACACTTTATAATGACTAAGTAAAACACTCTGGGAGTCAGGGTTTAGGTGCCAGACTACCGGAACTTTCCCTTGCCACCCCATCCTCTCACTCAGACCTGTTTTCTGTGGATTGATCTGCTGTCATACTGCACACTGGAGAAGCGCCCCCTGCAGTGTGTGGGAGGAAGTGTCACTTATCCTCTCATGGCTGATTCAGGAGGCTGAGGAAGTCTCAGGCAGCGTCTGCATGAAACGATCTGAGGCCTATTATGCAAATTAAAGGAGGATATAAACTAATGATACGCTGTAAAAACACTGCAAGAAAACAATAAAGCGTAAAGCGTTACATTGCTCTATGGTGCCACCCACTGGCTGTGATGAACCCCTGACCCAGGTTTAAACCCTTGGTGATCATAACCTCTTCTGCCCTATACCACTGTGCCACCCCTCACCCTACCAGCCTAAACATGCAGATCAGCAGCCCCACCCCCCCATGTACCATGACCCTGACCCCACCCACTTCAGTTCTAGCTGAGTCCCCATCACCCAGTCCCCCACAGCACAGGGCTGACCGTGCTTGCGGTGTCTTCTAATGGCCCTGTTCCCCATGCTACCCCCTTGTGGGGCGATTCAGCATGTGCCTTGTTTAATTCTTCCCTCTCCTGCCCCAGCAGACCAGCAAGGGCGACGCCCTGGCGAACCGCGTGCAGAACACGCTGGGGAACTACGACGAGATGAAGGAGCTCCTGACCAGCCACTCCAACCAGAGCCATCTGGTGGGCATCCCCAAGAGCTGTGTGCCGCAGACGCCGGTGGAGAAGGCCGAGCAGCCCGGCTTCTTCCCTGAAGGAGCGAGGGGGCGGCCGGGGCCCGGCCAGGTCACATCGGGATCTATGCCTCCCCCAGGCCCCTCCTCTGCCTCCTCTACATCATCATCTTCTTCCACGCCCAAGAAATCTCGCGCCACAGACTGGCACAGAGGGGGTGGGCAGGCGGCCCTGGGGGCAGGGTCCACTTGTGGGCGGGGCAAGCACGGGGCCGCCATCCACGAGCCACCCCCGGCTCGCCATGAGGACCCATTCATTCTCCAAGGCGACAGCCACAAGGGTGACTCTAGCCCGGCGGCCTCATCCTCTCATGGACGACGGCACGCGTCAGCAAAGGGGCCGCCGGTGGACACACCGTACAAAGAGCCCCCCCATGGCCGGTCTCCCGGGGATGTGGAGGTGGGCCCCCACGGCGTGGGCTCCCCCGTGGCTTCCACATCCCTGCTGCCCGGTGGCCTGGCCACACCCACCTTCCCACAAGCCTTGCACAGTAAGCCCAGCGCGGTGCAGCAGAAGCCCACAGCCTACGTGCGGCCCATGGACGGCCAGGATCAGCTGCCCATCGACTCGCCAGAGCTGAAGCCGCCCATGGAGATCGGGGATGGCTATGGCAATGCCACCTTCGGGGGCCTGGCGGACAGCAAGGCGGGCGGTAACGGCACCAAGGGGAAGCTGCCGAAGCTGACGCTGCCACCGCCCGGGGAGGTAGGTGTGCTGCAGTAGCCAGCCATGTGCTCGCCTTCCCATGCTTTGGGTTCAGATGTTGGAGCTGTGGTTGACGCCTTCTATGTGATCGTGTTGGTGGAGGGCGGACCCAGGCCGGCCGTACCGTGACTTGATGGACGATGGTGCCTGTTAGAGTGCTCTGTGGCCTTGCCCTGGCACCATTGCGGTTTTGTAACCACCGATTTGGAGCGCCCAGCCATTAGCCCAGCAAGCGGACGGTATTAACATCTGCCACAGACACCCATAGGCACGACTGTTCAGAAAGAGAATGTTCCAGGGCTGCACATCTCAATTTGAGCCTTTGTGTGGATAAACGTATCCACGGCACACCCTAATGTCCCTTTAACTGAACGCCCCTTTAACGCTCACTGACACAGAAGCCTTCGTTTTGGGCCCAAATTAAGGTTCAGTTGCACTTCTAGCCCTTAGATCAAACATAAATCGAGTCCAGGGCTTTTTTGGGGGTGGAGAGGGGAGCAGCAGAGCCTGATCCTAGCCCTGCAGAGGTGCCGACTCGCTGGGCCTCTGAAGCATTTATGAGACGCAGCGCGCCAAACCGCTGCCAGAAGACATCTTTAATCCGTGGCGCCCTGCAGTTAAATGCTAATATATTAAGGGCACTCTAAGTGCTTTGAGAGGGGGATTAGAGGGAGACGCAGGCTGCGGCCGGGGGGGTCATTAGGCCAGCTCAGGGAGTCTGCTGGCGCAAACAAGGCGTCACAGAGGTGGGTGATAACTGCACCCTCAGCATTCAGGTCGCGAGGGATAGGGAGTGACACAAAGAGGATCCTGGGATAGATTAGCCTGGCCTGGTTGAGATAAGGACTGAATCTGCTCGCGTTTGTTCTCTGTGGTCTTCTGAGGCTGCCTGGCTCCTGGAGTCTGCTGACCTGCACCTGCCTTTTTTTTAAAAATCACAATTGTTTATATTTCTGCTAGTTGACAGGCCAGTGGTGTTCCGCAGGAGTGGGTGGGATTGCCACATGCTGTCAGTCACAGGCAGTGTTGGCCCTTATTGGTTAAGGCAGGCAGAATATTGCATGTTAATCCCGCCCCATTGGGCTTCAAGGCGGGTCTGGTTGGGATGATCCCTCAGGGATGTGGACAGGCCCCAAGCTGTCACTAATAGTGGGATAACTGTCATGGGTCCTCGGGGGGGGGCTAGAAATCTGAATGCGGAAAGGGGGGCCGTATCAGAGCGTTTACGCATGTGTATATTTATATTAGTGTATTTGCACCTTTATGTGTCTTTGCCTATGTATGTATTTGTTGGAACCTGCTGCTCACGAATGGAACATGAAAAAACAAATCAGGGTTTGGAGGCAGGTCTGATGGAAAGAAAGTCGCCCTCAGTGCCGTCGGCTCTGGGTAGGCGCCCGTCCCAGTCTAAGGTGAAACATGAGCAAGTCCCAAATGCCCCAAGGCACCCACCGGAAGCCCATCTGACAGCCTCAGGGGACACGGCCCGCTAAGGTCCATCAGACACGTCAGGAAGCGTCCTGCTATCGCTGAGGGTATCAATCCGGCCAGGGGGTGCATGCGGCACTCACTGAAAACGGCCGCCTCAGGTCCATCGCGGCAAATGCAAGCCATCGATAGTCAGATAACGGCATTGATCGGCCTCGGTGCCGGGCATTATGGGAGCTCTCCGTAACTAATCGCCTTATCGCTGGCCCTTCCGGGACAGAGCCACAGCGGCGATGGGGCACATTAGATTAGCCGCTCTGTCGAGTGCAGACTGAAGGATGCGCCGAAAATGATCTTTTATTGCACGCTCTTCCTTTAAAGAGCCATTTTTAATCCTTTGATGGTGTTGTTTTGCGGGAGATCATAGCGGATCTTTGCGTGGAGGGTAATCTCATTCCGTCCAAACTGCGGTTTAAATAGTCCATCCCAGACGGTGCACCCACTTTGATGTGGGCCCCCCCCAGCCCGTGCTGCTTCTGACTGATGGATTTCTGCCTACTGAAGGTCAGCTGGAGTTCCTCACCCACGTTTCTGGAGGTAATTGAGCTGGTGTGGCTGACCCTGACCAGCGCCCTCGATGAAGTGGGAGCCATACTCCGCCACCACAAAAAAAAAAATTGGGAGGGGGTGCTGACCTCATAAGCCCCTCCTGCACAAATGCTCACTTTACCATTGCCCAAAGCAGACGGCACAGTGTTTCCCACACCGGGTGTGTGTGCAGACAGGGAAAGAACATTCTGGAATGAGCCTTACGTGGGGCTTGGCTCCGGCTTCAAATGCCTCCTGCCTGAGCCACACTTCCAGCGTCATCCCAGTTTCGTTTCTTCCCAATCAGCTTGGAGGAGCTGCCCCAGAGTGAAACTATTTCACACACATTCGTCTTGGCAGGCTGTTCCTGGTCGTGTCTTTCAGAATTGTCCATCTTGGCACATTTACATTTAATTTATTTAGCAGATGCTTTTATCCAAACCAATGTACATTTTTTTTGAGACATACTTTCTTCTGCGAAAGCAGGCTCATACAGTCCCTTTAGCCATTGGGAGTTGTGAGCCTTGTTCAGGGGCCCAATGGTGGAATCCCAGACCAGCTGTCTGTCTGGACGTGCAGCACGTAAGATAGCGTGGCCCTCAGATGCCAGGATGGAGGCCAGCGCAGAGCCTCTGGGACGCCTGCTGGAGGTGTGTGGGACGTAAGAGGCTTTATTGCTGCATACAGCCAGGGTGGCTGGGGCATGCAGGGAGGGTGAGCAGGGGCCTTGCTTTGGGCTGGAGGTCGGCCAGCCCCTTGGACTGGCTGGCTGTGTTCAGCAGTCTCTAATTTAGGATTTAGTCTTTTGAAAGGAATATGGTCGGGGTTACCACCCACAACCCTCCCTCCTTAGAAACTTAACCCAAATGCCCCCCTCCCCCCCACACCCATGGAGTTCCTCCTCTGTCATGTCTCATGATGATAACAGCAGTGGAAGCTGCGGTTAAGGCTTTATTTTCATGTAGCCAGTCCGTTTACCTCGGAGCTAAATTGGATTTCTGGGAGGGTCTGGGCACGTTGTGGGGGGGCAGGAGAAATGCTGGGGATTTGTCTGATGCACTGCCTCAGTTTGAAATGGGTTTCTGACCATGCGGTCATAGTCACAGTGCCGCTGAGGTGGGCATCATTGCCGGTGAAACATCTCGGCTCCTTTACGGATGACCAGAGAGTGAGTCAGAGCAGCTTCTGCGATCAGCCTAAGGAGAACCGATTGAGGAAGAGCATTCGCTCTCTGTCTCTGACTAACGGGTGAATCGTTTAGAGGCTTGTCATCAGGGCAACGGGGGTGCCGTTATGTACAGCGAAACAAGCAAGCCGTCACATGGAGAAAGTCCTATGGATGTTGCCACGGATACACCATCACGTTAAGCAGTCAGCGTCACCACGTGTCACTGCACATGTTAAGTGTGAAACACCTAACACCATTCGTCTTACAAGTATCCCGTCCACCGAAGCAATATGGCAGCCATTCCTTTCATCCTTCAAATACCAACACGTGCCTGTTCTCCCCAGAATCAGACCAGGGGCTTCCACAAATGGACCGTGCATTTCTGCTTTGGTCATTGTCCTGTGTGTCTGCTTGTCGTCGTAGATATTGTTACATATGAAGGTAGGAGTGTCCTCACCTTTAGTGCCATGAAGGATGTGAGCCCATGTTCATGCTGTTATCCCACTGTGACGGGCTGATCATTATTCCCAGCGCTTCTCCTATGTATCTCCGATCATCCTTACAAGTTAGAGTCCCCAATCCTAAGGGAAGTCATTATCAGAGGTGCGTCAGGCTGAGGATGACAGTCCCCCATCTGTGTAACCACAGATAGAATCACAATAGATAGACAGATGTAGCGATAGATAGCAGGCAGTGGTCCCAGATCAGGCTGTGCTTTTTGGGATCTCGTTCAGATAGGCACGGGCTGTCGCACCTTCGGCCAGCGGCTGGTGCGGGGGTGGGGTGTCCATCCCGCCAACGTGCCGCGTCCAGCTGGATCACCGCAGCACCAAGTGCTTTTCCCTCCATGCTGAGTTATTAGGAAGCCCCTTAATTCCAAGTAACAGCTGGTCTCATTTGCATAAATCCCATTACAATCTATTTGCCCTGGTTTCTTGTCAAACTGCAATAAAGAAAGATTGTGTAGGCCTGGGGCTAGAACCCACACAGCACTGTCGGGGTTCACCGGCACAGCCGGGAGGGACCCTATCCCCAGCCAACACCTTCTGTCCACCCCAAACTCGGTTCACCAAACAGAAAATGCATCGTGTTTTGGGTTTCCCCTGCTGGCTGGTTCGCTTTATTTTGAGTTGACTGGGTTTACAACTGTTTGTAAGTTTAGAACTTAGTCAAAAACTAGAACTAGATGTAATGTGTGAAGATCTAATGAAACCATTGCTGTTTGTAGAGTATATTTATATGATTAAATTAAATTAATGAATTCCATTCATTTTGGAGGTTGGTGTCAGGATTGACACTCTAGCTACCATAAAAACTTCACAGAGCTTCGACAAAGCAGGCAGGACTCTTTTCTCTTCTCTGTGGGAGTAGCTCTGCTGCTGCTGCCCACAGGAAGGCTGCACGCATCATGAAATGGATGGGGGAAAGTCCTCTAGAGCCTCATCCCCAGAAGAGTTGAAACCGCTGGAGAGCCAATGGAGTCAGTCCTGTTGGTGATCAGAGTTGGTTTGGAGCCGATGTGTTGCTTGCTGCATGGCAGCACTCAGGTTTTAACCAGAGGGGGTTCATCTGGGTAGGCATGTTTAACGTCTTGTGTCTCCGACATAATGCTCATCTTCCTCTGCTTTTGGAGAAGCTTTGCAAGCTCAACATTTCAGTGATGGCACTCTCTGAGGTACGCAGACTGGGGAGTGGCCAGATCTCTGTAGGTGGGTACACCAATTATTAGTCTAATCACCCTGATAGCTGCCATACTCAGGGAGTAGCTGTTTCTGTGGTGAATCGGCTCCTCCCGATGATGTCCGATGTCACTCCT